CTCCAGTCAGAAGCTCTGAGGATAGAAAATTGTCAGACAGACATACAAAATATATACAGTATATATATATTATATATATACTGTATATATTTTGATGTCTGTCTGACAATTTTCATCCTCAGAGCTTCTGACTGGAGTACTGCTTCTTGCCGTTACATGTAGCCTGTGAATTTAGGTGGCAACTTTGCATCAAGACCACTTAGCTTGGGATTGTAAAAGAATATTATTCTTTTAAGCAAGTGATTTTGGGGGAGACAACAACAAGAGGTGAGCAATCGCCTGTTTTGTCTTCCCCTCCAGTTTGTAATGGAAAAGCTAAATAAAGAAATAAAGACAGTGAAAAACATTTACCAATTGTGTTTAAGAAGAAAATCCCTATATCCTACCAACCTGATGAAATTATTTTCGGAGGCATTGGTTACATTTATCTCCTTTGAAAAACAGCGTCCTTGGGAAATCTGTTGTAAAGCACTGGGCTAATATCATAAACTATAGGCAAAAATAATGTAATAGATATGTACATGTATATGTAGCAGCTATTGAGGACCCCTTGGAGATTAATCTAATCCTGCAGATTTCTGGCTCCAGTCCCCAGAATTCTACCTCCAGTTACCAAAATTCTGCAATTTCAAAAGTTCTGAGAAAAAAGCTAATAAACAGCAACATGTGCATTCTATACTGAGTCTCTTAAGAATAGATTTGACTAGCACGTAAAACTTCTAAACTTGGCACAAGAACCATAGACTGTTACAGTACATGTACCTTTAGGTACTACATAACTAAAAGATAACAACTTGAAGTGTCTTGAAACAATTTGACTGTAAATTTTTATTCAAAGACTCAGATGCAGCCTTATACAGTATTGGCATGAAAAGGCTGTAACAAAATGAAACAATTTGTGCTATCACTTTCAAGACAGTTTTAGCCTAGTTGAGAAAAACGATGACAACCTTTTGTTCCCAGTTTGAATATCCTTATTATGACCAAAGCACAACCCTTGACATGTTTTGAAGAGGGCAAAACTGTATCATTTCCATAGGTAAGTGTTGGCTTGGAGTATTTTTCAGTGTACTAAACAAAAACCAGGTATTCTGAATGGCCCGAGAATACAACTTGAAGTCTAGCTCAGGTGGTTTGAATATCAATAGGAAGTGGTTCATGAAATCCTTATCTTAGGCCACACCAATTTAATTTGTTGGTTCTTGGATTCGCCTCTTCATTTTTTTCTGATTTGCAAAAAAAAAAAATCTGGTTCTGAATCAACTCAAATATGCTCCTATTTTGCCCCCAACAGTTAAGGAAATACTTTTTCTCTCATCTATCAATGCAGTGGTTTGATTAAAAGTTCAAAATTCATTGTTGTTATATTAACCCACCCTTTTGTGTTCAACTTGACTTCATGGCTCCTATCGTAGCATTTGGGGCTAAAATAGGATGCCTAGACCTGTTTTTATTTTATTTTTTTTCGCCCTGTCGCTTCCTATTTTTTCTGAAAAAAATCTGAGAACCAACAAATTAAATTGGTGTGGCCTAAATATGTTTCTAGCTTCTGTATCACAAGCCAGAGGCTGTAGCTTAAGATTGATAGGTTAATTATTTTACATGACATGTATGTTAAAGTTACAATGACTTATGTAATAAAAAAAAAAACTCAGAGATATCGTGGCATGGATGGAGACAGGTTAGAATGATCAACTAAAATTTATACTTGATGCATTTGTCAGACTTAATAAAAGACACCTTGCTAGACTATAATGCAGTGTGGAGAATATACAAAAAGGTGTATTCTGTATCACCCGAGGTACCAGCTGGACCACAGGTTGGATCGCCCAGCGGCCAAAGGCCGGTGGGCTTGGACTGGGGGTGATAGAGAATACGCTGTGTATTTTACTCATTACAATAATATGTCATACCAACCCTAGAAAGCACGCCTTTCAATGCGAAATTTGGTGTCCTTAAACAAAAATGCAACGACATCAATAATAAATTATTTCAATGTTCAGATCCCGGAATTGAATTTGGAAAGCCGCGCACGGGGCTTACAAAATGTAGGCGAAATGCGTTCGAATTATTCTATCTTGATGGAACATTTGGAAGCCCAAGAACGTATGTGATAACCAAATAGAACCCCGGGCCGTACCGCTAGTTATCACACGGGCTGGAACACCCGTATTGAACGTTATTGCGGCCCAGGTATGACATAAATTGTGTTACCAGTATGGCTAAAGCTTCTGGTATAATTGATCTATAACTTAACATTCTGTGCCCCCCCCCCCAATAGAATTTCTTTTTTCCTGAGAGTGGTGTGTTTTTAATGTATACGTGTGTTGCATGATACTTTAAACAAATACAATGTACAGGTCATTGCAGGCCAAAGTAGCTGGCATACTTACCACCATGGTAACACTATGCCTCAACTTAATAACTGATATTAATTTTGGGTGTCATCAGCGGATTATAGTGATTTTGGCTCGACTAATTTTAGAGCAACTCTAATAGCATATGACCTATGACCCAATTTAATAAGCTCTATGAAGAAGACAGTGTCAAGGATTTATAAATGTACTGTACAAAATGTACCAAGGAGAAAATTGTCCATTTTGAAAAATTGTTGAAATTACTTTTTACTAGATAAGTTTAAGGCATTATTGATGTTTTACAAGAAAGAACTGTTTACTGTAGCACTTACAAAAAACAAGAGTGGTACGACTCAACTTAAATTCTGAAACAGAATACTGTATCTTCCAGTATCAAATTGTGGGCATGCAAATTTTGCCTGACATGAAGTGTTCCATGTAGGTGAAGTGGACTACTACACTCTACTTGTATTGACTCTCAGCCATGTTTTGTACGACAGGTGTCCATATTTCTGAAGGACAAGGTTCAGAATACCAACGGGCGCTTTGTCCTGCCGTGCAGTGGCCCACTTCCCTTCGGCGCTGAAATTCCTGGCACAATAAGGTACGTACAGTTCAAAGCCTGTCTATTTCCCTTTGAAGTCAACATTCTTTTACTGTAATTCGTGATTTTTGTGTTGTACTACTATATTCACAGTTTTCACGGTCCCAGTTCTGTACCATGACTTATCATTTCCGTTAACAAATAATTTGCTGAGAGTCAGACTTTTTTTCTTCACCTGCCACCACAAAAGTAACGTTCTATTTTGCAAACATGTCCATTTTTCTCAGACTGCAAAACTTTGCTACCGCAAACGTAAAAATAAATTACAGTATTTTTGTCCTTAAGAAAAGGGTCAATTTAGCCTCTGGAGCCTGGGTGTGGATGTTCCCAGTCCATGTTATACACTGCAAATTTGGAGTGGCCAATCGCAAACAAAGCTTTTCAACCAACAAAGAATACTGCGAACAGCCTTGACTTTTGGATCAATAAGTGAATTACGCAATCTTCTGACTGTCACGGTGTACAGAACTTTGACAGGAGATCTACATGTACCATTATTTTTTCAGAAGAAGAAGGAATCTTTATTCAACTTGCCGACTTACATAGCCTGAATTTTGTTGAATTTACAAAGTTTAAAATACAATGTTAATATACATACTACATGTAAGTATTACAAACATTATCAATTATTGACATTAAAATACACTTATCATATAAGATGTTCTGGAATCACTTGATGTACTGATCGGGATTCATTTGGTGCATTTATATATTGTGTCGTACTGTCGTGGTAAGTACATGTAAATACAAATACATTGTGTCGTTGGATCAATGGGCTAATCCCTGATTTAGCAGATGTGCCAAGTAGGATACAGGGGAGCTTTTGTATCTGTTCATCTGACAGTGGGATGTCCAGTTTCTGAGAACTACGTGTTGAACGTCCTGATTATGTTGATTATACAATCATGTAACATCCTCATATAATGATTCCAGTCAGATGCTTTGTTGTCATGGCATGTACAAGGTCTAAAGTTTTGTTTCGTTTACTGCCTACTGTATACATGTACCTTATATGATGTTGCATCTAAAAGCTTTCTTGGAATAGGCTTGTACTCAAAGAAACCCAGCCGACACTGCATTCCTGCATGTATCTGATCATTCATGTACTTGAGAGAAAGACCAAACACTTAACAGTATCCTGATTGTTATCAGTTTCCGGTTGAATCATTGAAAACACCATTTTCAGCATCTGACCGACACATTATAATTATATTATGCAGAACCAACTTTTTATCATCCATGGAAGAAAAGAATTCTTTCCCTTATTCCTTTAGCTCCCGAGTCTATATCCTGAGCTCCTATTTTTGGAGAGTAAAATTAATGTTGATGTACATGTGGCTTATATCTTGACACAGTGACTATAGATGGTGGTATATATTTGAAATTACCAAAACAGCACTGTCAGCAAAGTTTTAGCTCGTAGCAACTACAACTTTTGGCACATGACAACAAGCACAACCTGGAACAGATTTTGTCATTCAAAGGTCAATTTTTGACGTCAATGAAGGTCAGGAACAAGAGATAATGCCAACATGTCAATGACGCATGTTGTCTACAAGGGTTTGAAAAAAAATAAACTAAAAGGTGTTCAGGGCAAAGGAGCCTGTGTTATCATGTTGCCAGTGTGTTTGGCCATGGATTCTCCTTAAGATTTTGCATCCTATAAGGGCACGAGTCCTGAAGTAATGTCACTGTGACATTTTAGAAGGTCTCGATATTCAAACATTTCAAAATATCTTCATCGCATGCTGCTAGTCAAAGAAGTAACTATACAGCGAGTCTTAGAGAGATTATGTTGGTTTCTTGATTCGTGTAAGTATATCTAGTGTCCTGTGTGTCAAGTTTATCGTCTTCCTCTGTCTCTGCATGCAGATTGTACAATGCAGACGGAAACATGAGCAAAAGTGTGAACTTCCCCAGTGGAGGAACCTACAGTGGGCCTGTCAAGGAAGGATCCATAGAGATCAGGGGAGATAGAGTCACCAAACTAGGAACCAACATGTAAGTAGCATTTTTTTTAATTATCTTATAGTTCTGTTACTGTAACAGTAGCTTCTCAGTAATTGCCAGAAGCATGTCTAACTCAGTATTGTCTGACAGTAATATGTCAGTAAAAGAACAGTCAGAATAATAATTCTTACTAATAGGAAGCAAATTCCGATTCGGTACTTGCCGTTTGCATTACAGTTGTGACAGTTAAGCTGCTTTACTGAAATGATACTGAAGTTTGACTGTCAGTAACTGTATAGTAAAATACATTAAGCACTCCAATATTTTTTCTCACTATTGTCTCAAAAGTTTAGATTTTTTTTTAAATTAAGGGGTATCAACTTGAAACTTTGTCTTCTAGATTTGAAGAATGCTCAATTACAACATTGCCTCATGGGTAGACTTAGACAAAGCATAACAAATGCACAGACCTCATTTTTGCGTGTGTGTAAAATTCATGTACACCAGGATTTAATGACTTCGTTGTGTGCACCACAGGTACAGTTTATCCAGACCAGTGGAGGCCAGTCTACCTACAAGCAAGGTGACAGCAGCACCATCAGATCTGGTAGGAACCTTTGAATCGATGAAACCTTGAAAAGTTTAAGATTGTATCTATTTATGAAGCCTTCACAGGGAAGCTTGTTCCATGTTAATGTAGTTCTAGGAAAGTAGCTTTCAGCGTGGACCTTTCTCCTGAGAGATGGAGTTTGGAAAAAAGAAAGGGTGATTTGCTTCTGTAGTAGTGGCAAAACGTGTCCAGGCCGAGAAAGTTCCAAGTGCGGGCACAAGCGAGATTAAACTTGTGGGATCGTGGGGTCGTGTGGCGTAGTGGCAGAGTGCTCGACTCGGAATCAAGAGGTCCCGGGTTCGAGTCCTGACATGCCACCGATCTTGTGTCCTTGGAAAAGGCACTTAACACGACTTCCCTCACTTCGCTCAGGTGAAAATGAGTATTGTCCTGTCATGTATTTGTCCCCTGTGTTGGTGGCGGCATTAATATAAGTTGAAAAAACTTGAGTTTACCGCCACCACGTCTTGTAATTAGATGTTGGATTCGATTTGGAAGATTTATAAAATAAATCTTGTGGGAACGTTTTTAAAAATTCTGATCTAAACTGAGCCTATAATTCGCTGTCTTAATCAAGTTTTAATAGACTTACATGTAGTTTGACTGCGGATGTCCAGAGAGCCACTCTACAGTAGTGGTGAGAGTCCCGCCTGTCGCTTATGTACGTCCTGGAAAACCAAAACGATGAGAATTATCAGGGATGAGATGTGGAATGATTTTGTTAAGACATGGTTTGTGAGAGGAGCAATGATGGTCTACAGCCTTATCCTGATGGGCAATGAGCAAAAATGTACAATAAATGTCTTTCATCCATTAAGCTGTGCCATGTTTACAATAGATGAAAGGGCTTCATCAGGAAATAGTGCGGATACAATAAATACCTGGAGCAGCCTGGCATATGAAATTCGCCCGCAGGTGGCAGCCATAGTCGTGCCACTCGTATTTCATGGATGGGTATTTGGAGAAAACGACGCAATCTTCGTCCCCATTGGCATTATTTACGTTGCCCGGTTGTCCCGAACCCCAGGAGTTGTACGACCCAAGTGCAGAGCCGTCCACCCACTCGTAACTTCCCTCTACGTGCTGATCATGCAGGCCGAACCAGAAGGCACCATTCCTGCATCTTGAATTACCGGTAAACAGTGAGATCAGGAAGGCGTTGGTGTCAGCATCTCGAGGCATGGCGAGGGTGCCGCCGTCTGCACAACAGGCCGCCGCCGCTTCGCTGAAGGTCTTTAGTGTGTTGAAGGCCTTGTAGCAGGTTCCACGCCACTTGGTGTAACCTTCGGTACAAGATGCTGGAAAACACGTTTTGTACCAATAACAGGCAAAGGATGTGATCATGTTTAAAATCAAGACATATAATGCAATATATGCTTCATCAACAATGAATCTACAGTAGGGGTTGTATTGAATAACCACTATTCAATATGACAGAAATGCTGTGTAAAAATGCCACATATTGCACCTACATGCACATTATTTGTTTTCAAACTAATGATGTTGGCACATAGACTAACATAAAGAGCAAACATAACATCTAAAGCAATTTACCAAAATTTTCCCAGTTCTCAATCTCGTGAAGACGCTGCTCCAAGGTGGCGGTCCGGTTGCGCTCGTTGTCCAGGTCACGCTTCAAGGCGTCAACAGTGGTGGACAGTTGGGATATTTCCTACGAACATGTATACACACGTCAGAAATACTGAACGTAACAAACAATCTGACGAAAAACAACAGCAAATATTGTACCCTCTTAAAACAAAATGAGATGAGCATAAATAAATCATTATAATAATAGCTGGACAGCAGGCTTTATGGTACAACACTGTCACCTGTCTGTTGCTGAACGTCAAAGGAGAGAGTCCCACGGCACTTAGGCTAAGCAGCACGGCGATGCTAGCGGCCAGACAGCTGCGACGGGCGCGTAGGAAGCTACAGACACCACGGCGGCTGCTCGCTCCCCCCGGATATGTGCGGTCTGGTAGGAAATAATATTTCGCTCAGGTTATCGCGTACTTCAACGTACCAACTCAACATGTTGCCGCATAAACAAAACAAGACCAAGCATTTTGCAAATGGCTTCGAAATTTACACAATATATGCATAGTGATGCACAGTTTCAACTACAATGTAACTTACATGTATAAAACTAGTATATAGAATAAATCATAGTATAAATAAATAAAAGTATAAAATCCCCTTGATTTAACATTAAGGAACAACAGCATTTTCGTATTAATTTTGCAAATGAGGCCCTAGTTCCTACCTAACTACCCTATTTTTCAGGACTGATGTCAGAAACACAATGATAGTTCCAAGGACTAAGACCCGTTGTGCATGTGGCAGGAAAAGTGTACCTTTGACGAAGCTGTGATTTCCATTGCACCAAATTTGGTGCGAGAACGTTCGCCTACCCTGGTCATGAATTTTACATGAGGGGCGTACAGCTAAACAATGAAGGTATTCTTGTTGTCATAAAATTTACCAACACAGCAAACTACATGTATGCAATATACAGTACATGTAGGTTAACATAATATAACACTTAGAATATTTTCTCTTGATAGTACCAATATCCACTGTAAACAGCAGTTGAGAATAAGTGTCGGTTACCTGCAGTCGCTGCGTAACCTCTCACCGCCTCGTCATCTTCGTACGTGTGTGAAGACGTGTCCTGGTCTTCCCGCTGCTTGTCAGAAGCGCCATTACCACGGCGGACACGCTCGTGTGAACCACTCTGACAGACGGGACGGGGTTCGGGCGGCCCGCTGGTTTGTGGGCTGTCGGGGCCGGAGAAAGGCGACCGGACAGGCTCTGCCTCCTCGTACATTTCAGCTGTACTGTGCAGACTGTATTGTTATGCAGTGCATAACTGAGTGTGCAAAATTCATGAATATGGCAACTAACACCTTAATTAGTCTGACAGAGTAAGGCTACATTTGCCCGTATTTGGAAGAATGACGTGGGATGAGGTGATGCAATATAATTTTGTTTTTATGCAGTCAGACTCATTTTTGTGGAAAACGAAGTAATCTGAGCTGGTAGGCAGAAACATCAAACAACTCCTCTCCTTTTTGCCAAATTCTATGATCCGTATTAGAAAGACATGGTACAGGCTAGGTAAATAGTATGTTGCTTCGTTCACAAAAGGACTCTCTGACCACTATGATAATCATCTTAAAAAAACCTACACTATACATACACACAACACCCACCAAAACAATATCACACTGTCGAAGGCATGAGACCTCCGAACTCTAGTTGTGATCTGAAGAGCGTCGTGATTGTGAGCCATTTTCTTGTTGTTCCAGGAGAGTAACAACCCTGACCCTGTAGCAAAAGCAGAACTGAACCTACTGGCACATCTCATGGGGGGCATCAAGGAATCCAAGTCAGGACAGTCCAGCGAGTTTAGACTCAACCTCTTCAGTACTGATGAAGAAGAAGAGTAAGTAGAACATAATTATTATTTATCTTCCTCAAACTCTCCCATTGGTCTATGATCTTTAATTTTTAATAATATTATTCTTACTTGTTATAAGAGGCATCCAAATTGAATGCAATTTCAGGGTGGCAAAAAAAAATTGTGGATGTGGAAAAATTATTTATGGCAATTTCTTATATTTATTAGCACATTTACATCATCATTTCATACTTGAGGTGTTTAGAATAGCCCCTAAATGAGGTAATATTGTGAGGCAATCTTATTTTTTTGGGTATACTATTACCATAAATAGCTAGAACCAGCCTATGATATACAAGCAACCATTTTCTGTCAGTGACATCATTTTTTTTCACATTTTTGCCTTACAGAGATCAGTACAATGTATGCTATGGGATGATTAATAATTTTTTACTTGTTTACTTCTTCACAGACAAGCAGCTGCAATGAGACCACCAGACGAGTCCTACAACGTAGTCAACATTGATGCATCTAAGGTACGATGTGAAAGTAGATTGTACAAAAACTTAACTGTGAACAGATGTATCTAGTGTCCATAGTAGGGCTTTTCTTATTGTAGAAGTACTGTTTATTTTTTTCACAGCTTGTAACAGCTTACATTGTATGTGTGTTATAGTATTTGATAGGATACTTTATAGGATCTGTGCTCATTATTGTGCTTATTTTAATGCCATCATTATACACAGTGTACAAACCTTGATTCATAATACTTTTTTAATATTAGGACATACAGTGACATAATGTTCTCAGTTTGTATTATGTGTTACCATATATATACTAAATTAGTAGTTACTGCAGTGTACTACTACTCATTCCCTTTTTATCAGCATCATAATTACAATTTATTACATTGTATATTGCTCTTTTGATTATTGCAGAAGCAACAAAGTGAAGAGCTAAACAAGATTATGGGTGATTTCCACATCGAGTCCTCCGCTGACCCAAATGCCGAGGATGACCTTCTACAACTGATGGACAGTGCATATTAACCCTCATGTCCCTACTGGTGCTGTCACGCATCTCACATCGGAACTGGTACATCAATATGGAGTCTCTACAAAGTCCCATCATTATGAAGCAAGTTTAAACTGCGATTTCCAACACCACAAATTGGACTCACCCAAATTTTCGACAGTACAACTCCAGTCTTTTTCAAGGAATGAGCAATCCACCGCTTCCGTGACGTCATGCAGATAACACACGTGACTCCGTGAGCAGTGGATCATACAGGTTGCAGAGAGTCTGTGGCACCCCCGTCTCTGAGGGATGGTTGTAATGCCCTGATGTAGATTGCTCATTCCTTGACAAAGACTGGAGTTGTACAGTCGAAAATTTGGGTGAGTCCAATTCGTTGTGTTGGAAATTGCAGTTTAAACTGGCTTCATAATGACTTCTACCAACACAGATGAACTTTCAAGATAAAGTACCAACATACTTGTGGAATGCTGTCTCAGTCTCTAATGTTTGGCAGTGATATTCAAAAGGACATCCTTCATCTATATAAGATATAGTTTCAATTGGGAATTGATAAAAAAATTGAGTTTTAGAAAACACTTTCTATCTTTTTAATTTAAAAGTTTACAGGCCTGAGTGTTCTAGCCAGCGTCTGTCTTTCCGTCCTTTGCCAGAATTTTGCTGCTCATGACAGAAATTTTTGCCCAAAAATTTTGCCCAATTTGTCATCATTGATGGACAAAAATTAGCATGTAAAGATAGGAGAAAAGATGTCATTCAACTAAGCTTAGTCTAAAAGCAAATTTTGCCATTCAAAATGTTGAAAATAGCATTTCAGAGGATCAAGATGTCTAAATTTCACAGGGGAGCCTTAGGGGTGTTGCTTTCATTACATCAAACAAAATTGAGATGACGGGAAAAAAATTTCAAGCTGGCTAGAAGACTGATACAGACTGTAACTTATCAATTATAGACTGTTTCATTTCATAAACATGCCAGACATAGTTTGATCCCAACATGATGAAAAGGCGACTCATAAAAAAATTTCTTTGATTGCTGTCTCTTCATCTGGAGTAGTGTGAAAGGACAAGAGATATGATTTTCATTTAGTGAACATTCAGAAAAGAAATGAGAAATAACTGCTGGCATTATTGGTTGGGACAAGTATGTGAATATCAGTTGGATGCATTCCAAACCCTTGGAGATGAGGCTACGTCAAGAAATTCCTTGTACATACATGTAGCTTGAATGGTATTTTTCCAGTGCAAGGATCTTTGTCAATAAGGCTAAGGAAAATTAATGTTGTATTTCTGGTTTCAGTCATAAAAAAATAGGGTTGGTAGGTATATATACGTACTACTAGAAGTTTTTTTTATTTTTATTCTTTTTAGATTTCTGCTAAAATGTCTTGAGGACCTGTCCACCTGTTTGCTTGTGGACAAATATTCCACCTGATTTACTGAAGAAAAAGTACTTCTGAAAATAATAATTTAAAATGACATTTCAGAATTCAGAGAGTTTGGAATCCAGATCTAAAGTGTCAGAAGTAAAATTTTAAAGCCTGTTTTTTTGTCGGGTTTTGCTAGTTTTTTTGCTAGGTTTTTTTTTTTTCGAGTCGGTCGGGAAACCGGAAACATAACATTTTTTTTCCTAGACCTAACCCCGAGCTTGGAGTTTCAAATATGCAAAATAGTTGCTGTGGTGGATAGTATTGATTTGTACAGACTGAGGTTTAATTGAATGTCAAGTAACAATCACCATGATGATACATTGTAAAGTATACTTGCATGGTAGAAAGAAAAAATTTAATTTAAATCTGTTCATCATAGCCATTAGATTAGTACATTGTACATTGTAGCTCGCAACCTAGTCAGAAAAGTGGTGCAAGCCGTGGTGCCTAAATTATGTTAAATGCAAGAGATAAAAAAAAAAAATTAAGAAAAAAAAAAAGATGTACAATAGTCTATTTACTTGGACCAAAGGCTTTATTCCAGAAGTGTGCATGAAATATATAGAGTACCACAACAAAATCTTTACTCTAGAGGCAATTGTAAAATGCCCTGCCCAGTTATCACCTTAAAAATTCCCTATGAAATTGTTTGATCACCTTAGACATCTATCCTAAATCGAATTTTCAAACATATTGATTCCTTTCAATTTTAATTTATTGAATGTAAAAATCCTCCCAACATTTCAAATACACAATGTATAAATATATAATACATAGGTCTAAAAGAGTGCACAGTCCTTCAAATGCAGCAATCTACTAAACCTCCAGTAGCATTTGGTCACCAAGTTACATAATTATTATGTTGTATATCTGCCACTTTGAAAAACAGTATGTTTGAGAGATCTATATTACTAGTTACTGTAAAAGAAATGCATGATACTGGGAGACATTGGATTGGAGATCTCTTTACTATAGATGCATCTTTTTAGGGTGGCAGAAATATATGATTTTGTATGTTACCTGTTGAGGCTTTTGTTCAAGTGAAGCCATTGACAATGTCATCTTTGTGCAACAGACCTTATATAATGTTATATATAACGTTTGTCTGGTGCAGGTAATTTTCTGTTTTCCCTGCACCTAGTGTAGGTGTGCAGAAAAAAGGATTTTGAGGCCACACCAATTTAATTTCTTGGTGAACGGATTCGCCCGCTTCATTTTTTTCTGATTTGCAAATAAAAATAAAAATTCAGAATCAACTGCAAAATGCTCATATTTTGCTCTGAACAGTTGAAAACAGTCCTTTTCTTCCTAGTTGTTACAGTTATTCCATCTTTCAATGCAGTGGTATCATTAAAAGTTCAAAATTCATTGTTTGAATTTTGAACCAACCCTGTGTGGTGACTTCATGGCTCCTATCGTACCATTTTGGGCCATAATAGGATGCCTAGTGTTTTTATTTTTTTTGCCCGCCCGCTCCATTATTTTTCTTGAAAAATCTGTTAACCAAGAAATTAAATTGGTGTGGCCTGAGCCCTGCAGACAAGAATGTGCTGAAAGTTTGTGATTGCCTGACTGTAGTACTCTGTGAGAAAATTTGTGTCTTTGATCAGCGTACCAAATTCTATTGGGTAACACCGGGTTAGGCAGCAGTGAAAAGACTAACATTTGGCTAGATGAAGTTGAACGTGGACTAATGTGTGTGTGCAGTACTGTTCATTCAAGTATTGATACTTAATGTTAAACGCATCCAATGCAATTTCAGGATGGCAAAACCAAAAAAAATATTCCGGATAGGAAATCTGTCTGATATTGACATTTTCTGCCATTTCTTAACTTGACATTTTCGTCATTATTTTACAATATTATACAGAGTGTTTGAAATACTAGTAGCCCAAATCCAAGCTATTTGCTTTTTGGATACCACTTATAACTAGCTAGAACCAGCCTACGGTACAAAACTAGCAGCCATTTTCAGTCACCAATAATGCATTTTTGCCTCACAGATATGCTATTGGATGGAATTCGAACTGATTCAACTTGCTGCTGTAACATTTAAAGAATGACCAGAAAGTCGACTTTGAAAATCTAGTTTTGCCACGCATTGAAAACCTTTAAATACGTCTAGTAATTTAGAACAGCTTTGACTATCTGTCAAGTACACATGACAGTGGATTGAAGTCAGAAAATATGAGAGAAAGGAATAGAGTTGAGATGTGAAAAGAGTTATCATTGTGTGTACTTACATGTAGCTGAACCTCAAGCCTCTAACAACATATAGTATGACGTGTTTACTTACAATATGAAATTACTGTATTCAAGCTGAGCATTGCCTTTAGAGATGCCTTTAAAACATTCTCTTCAGTTACAAAATAGACACCTGTTGTTTTTGAGATGTACTGCAGTATATGTATTGAATGTACTAGCATGCATATGACAGAATGCAACAGAGACAGAAAATGATTATAAGGACTGCATTAGCAAATATTTGTAACTATGGATCATGTTTTTCTATGCATTTTGTTTATTCAATGTTTCTAAAACTCACTTGGTAGATACATATAGCGTATTGCACTGGTGCAACTATGTTACATTTTAACTTGTGTGCTATCATGTTAAATAGATTTACATGTTTGTAGTGTGGTATGCTCAAATCTATTTGGTTGTCTTCTCAAAGTTTGATAAGCTTCATGTTTGGCAAGATATCAAATTTATTGTTCTCTGCATGTTATGATGTTCGTAATACCACATTTATTTCTTGGGTAATTATGAAAATTGTCTATGAGTTTGAAAGCTACTGCCAGCACAGCACTTAAATATCAAAATGATTTTTACAGAATATTGCATGATCTCTTTCTTCATGACAAGAAAGCTTTGGATAAGGTTTTATATTTGATTCGTCTCCACTCTCCAATGATTTACATGTTTTTTTAGAATTAAAATAAATATATAATGTCAGTTCAAGAAAACAAAGAACAAGAACTAAGGAATCAGATACATTTGTAGCAGTGTTTCTAGAGTTCTAGCTACGTTTAAATTTATTTCATAATTCAGTTTATCCTTTTCTTCAAACATAATGTATCAAAATGTAACAAAATAGAAAGTAGAAACTTCTCAGTCATATTGTGCAATGCTTTTACATTGTTGTAAAAAGTATGCTTCTCATAGGGGACAAGTTTGCCAGTGAAGAGATTCTTCCTTTTTCTTTTAGACTGTAATTTTGGTAGGATTGGTGTTATGTTACAATTCGCAATTTTTTGATAAATTTGATGATCAGTTGTTGGTGTTGTCTATCTGTTGTCACAAGGTGAGCTGTAAAAATACACTGCAATGTGCATTGGTGTGAAACTTTAACTTGTGTGTTCTGTTCTTTTTTTTTGTCATGAGGCAAGTAAATTTTATGGTTGACATCCTCCGCAGACTCCAAATCTAATGCGAGCGGGCGAACGAAAAAAAAAAAACAAGGCGGGCAAAAAAAGGGTTCCTACATTTTAAAATTTTGACTCAATCATTGTACAAATGTTTTTGATTCAGTGGGAACATCACATATCACTGCATCAAAGTAAGAAACAAAACATTAAATCAGAGCCTTTTCTTGTCTTCTTTCTTCATAGTTACCTGCCATCCACCTTCCAGCATGGCAACAGACATCTTTTCCCATTTTCGGCATATTGACAACTGTCAGAAGGCAACAATATTTCTTTTTTTTTTTTCCAAAATCAGGCGAAAATTGATGTCATCCATAAAAATGACTTGCTGTGGTCTGAATAGGTGGCTGAATGTTTTACAGATTGAGTGATCTTAAACACATTTTTGTTTGCTTGTACAAAATGGATATCCAGCTATTTGTGCCCAATTTAGACTTCATATATTGTAAAACTGAAATATTATTTTAAGAACCCTTTTGGGATGTACATCACAACATGACTTTCATATTACCTTAAAAAGGCTAAAACAAATTAGAAACTTTAATTCATGTTAAAACTTTGTAACATTGCATTTTTAAGGACAAAATGATGTGGGAGAACCAACATTAAACTTTTAAAAGTTACCAAACATTGATTTTTTTAATGTCAGAAAAGACTTCTTTGACGTGCCAACACTGATTCTTTTTTCTTTTTTTTTTAGTTCAGTCATAAATGACGTTACTGGGGTCTGTTTGTTCCGTTGTTACTTTATTTGCCTGGGAAAGGTTTATTACTTTAGGATGGGTGGGATCAAATGGCACGAACCAAAAAATTTACAGGGGCTTAAAAAATCACCTGAAACTTTTTTTTAGATTTCGCCCATCGCGGCTAAAGCAAATGGGTCTGTATAGATCGATTACATCATGTGTTAAAAGATTGTTGCAACAAAACACAGGCGCTTTTAACTTGGAACGCACCGTGTGTTTACTGTGATCATGTTGACGGCACACCCCCCGCCCACATATTTGGACCCGCCCACAGGTGTCCCGTAGCAGACGAAAATGGCCACCTCTGAGGAGTGGACGACAACTTCAGGGCCTCGGGACGATTCGGGCGAAAACCTGGCTAGAAAACAGGTAGGAAAGTACGGACACCGTGTGCTCAATTCAGAAATGACAGTTTTATGTTCACCTCGGCTAAATTTTGAGCGGTAGTTTTTTAGGAGACCACCAGACCGTCCATTCAATCATGCGAGTCAGGATCCATTATGGCACTGTGTTGGCAGATCAAGGGGGCAGAACACCCGAAGTAACGGGACAGTTTTGTATCCGTTCCGGTCAGAAGGCTACAGGTGTTTTCGTGATAAGAAAAACCCGAGGTTTCTACAAGAAGCTGGCGAACTGTGCTCAAATTCTTTCCATTAATAGCACCTGTCACTGTGCCAGAAAAACTTCAAGTAAAAAAGTAACGGTCCAACACGGAAACTGAGACAACTTCAGAAGAAAACATCGTGGTAACGGTACGAACAAAAAACAATTCCAAGAGTTTGGTTACGACTTTTGTACGTACAGACAGGCCTTGGTCTGTGTAACAAGGACCACGGCAGGAAAACATTTCCCGAGCACCTTTAGAAGGCCTTAAGTTAGAAGTGTTTTTGCACGTCAGTAAAGCCTGACTACTTGAGACGTACACACCCATTCTTTTGGCGCGCGGCTCTCAGGAGCAGCTGTAAATTAAAACTGAGTGATCAGCTGTAGCGCGGGAAAAACACGCATGGCAACAAGTTTGTGAAATCAACTTAATTAAAGGCGTCCAATGAAATTTCAGGGTGGCAAAACTGGATTTTCAAAGTCAACAAATTTTCTGGTCATTTTTTAAAATTAGTATCAAGTTGAGTCATAATCCTCTTAGCATACTGATATCTTTGAATTAACTGGCAAAAATTTGATTCAGGTTCTAGCTATTTATGGCCATATGGGTGGTACCTAAAAATAATGAGATGCCTCATGTAGCTTGTTTTGGGGCTACTTCAAACGTTTTAATTATGAAATGTGCTAAGAAATGGCTGTAAATGTCAATATAAGACAAATTTCCTTATCCAGAATTTTGTTTTGTTTTGTTTTGTTGCCTTGAAATTGCATTGTATTGCTCTCTGTTTATAGAAACCTCCTTGGTCAGATATGATAGAAGACTGTTGCGTGCATCGCTTGAGAAGTCTGTGCCCAAAGTTTACAGCACTTTGATAGTTTACAGTCCAGGTCACTGTGAGGAATGATAAACAAGTTGGGTGGAGCAGATTTTGTAGCCGACATAAATCACCTGAAATGTCAAGAGTGAATCTGTCAATATTTTTAAGGATTGTTACAAGCCAAAAAAAGACAAAAAAAGTGGGAAAGAGGTTCCAACATAGAATAGTCAAAAAATTTATGTTAAAGATCTTTGTAACAGTTTAAGTCAGTAAAGAGAGCCTGCATGGGGGGGTAGTGATTACGCATTATGCCACTTTGCCATTTTTTGCCACAAATTTTGAATTACGTTAAAGTCTCAGAGCTGATTACGACTTTACACTTTTCACATGCTAATGTACTATGATTGTAGTACGAATTACATTCAATTTTTGGATTGGCTGCCTACAGATTACGAAGACTAAAAAGGCCTGGTTACGCCTCACGAAAAAGGGCATGCAGGCCCCCAGTAAAATTTACCAGACTTGGATCTACTTTATTGACTCCATTAGCTAAAACTATGCCATTCCTTGCCCATTAGGTAAATAAATGTAGCTCCCATGTCATATAAATCATGTTGACTTGTCATTGTACCACCCTTCCTGCCTCTGGCAGTCGAAATGGGGACAACATTCCAACCTGACATTTTAAAACCTGTTTTCAACCTTATCTACAAGCATTGTGCCAAAAGAAACGATCCCAAACCTTCACTCTTACTCTCTTAAGCTTACTTCTGAAATAGGTTTGAACCTCTATTTTGTAAGCACCTATAAATCTTCAAGCAGATCCTTTAGTGTCCAAACCGGCAAGGCTGAGTATCTGAGGCCATGTTGATTTGATTATATGGATGACATCCGCGTGCGCATGAATTTTCGGCCGGTTCAAAAAAAAAAAAGTTTTCAACCATACTGTAAATTGTACAAAACAGTTGCAAAATAAGAAAATATATACCGTAAGTTGCAAAAAAATACTAGTATTGGAAAATGATGGAAACCGATACCAATGTTGTAGAATGCCAAAATCACACGAAAAAGACGAAAATGTAAAGAAATGAATTTGAAGAGTTAGTAGATTATTCGTCACACCATACTGTGTCATTTGTTCAACCTAAATCATGACCACGTAGATTTCATGTTGAAAGCAACTTTTTTTTTTGCCAAACTTTTTTTTATTCGCATGCTCACATCAGTTTTGGGGTTCCCAGAGGATGTCATCCATATAATCAAATCAACATGGCCTCATTGGAAGAGCAGTATCTTTGGCTGCCAAAAGTAAAAGATACATATACCTGCTGTACAAAAAGGAAAGCCCAATATAACACCTATAAACACGTCAAAAATAAACCTTTGCTTTACTAGCTCGTGGCCTGCTTGTTCTTGCCTAAATTCTTTGTAAGCAGCTCCTTTCAACAAATTTCAAAGAAAAAGAGTTGTCCAGCTGTCAGTGTAACAGGCCCCACCACCTTTTTTTGATGTAGTATTTGTTCTTGTTGTAACTTGAACTGCAGGTGCAATGTTACAAATAGTAATAAGATTGGATGATAAAACTATGTAAATAGAATTTAAGAGCTTCTTTGTCCAAGTTTAGTCGGATTACAAAAATGCTTTGTTTGGAATTTAAAAGCTCCTCGCTTTAATTACTAGTTGATGTGAAAGAGCTTCTAGAAAAAAACAACACTCTGTTACAATGAAATACACTCAGGTACAATGTAGGTTGCTTTTTTTTCTCCTGTGTATTTGTAGCATGGATGAAAAGACAATCTGGATAAATTATTTGTGAAAGTTCAACAAAACTGATCTCTTAGAATTATGGCATGAACAGAAACAAGAAGTTGAAATACAAGTTCTTGAGACAAGAAAAGAAAATGAAAGAAAAGATGAGGTAATTGTAATTAATCCCCAGGTTACCGCATGCATCAGGTATGCCCCGCATCCTGTTACACCTGCTGCTTACCTGTGACAGGTGTAAATAGGATACATGGTGATTTTTTGGATCACCTTCTTTATACAAATCGCATATTTCTGTCAGAAATGTATAGTACATGGCAAGTACAGCTGAAATGAACGATTTAAAGAGCATTGCAGTATATTTTTAGCCGTATGGTGTGTTCTGTTTTCTTATTGCTGTGTGCTGTTTTCTATAGTGCGTATCTAGCACATGATGTCATGTCTGTATTTTCCCCACTTTGACGTCCCATGTCACACTGTCCTTTCTAGCATACTGCGGTCAAGTACCAACGAAGCAACACACAAATTAAAACACCTGGCACATATCAATTCTATAGGACTTTTAACCCTTGTCCTGCTGGCATTTTTAACAAAGTTTTTTTCAATAAGTTCATGTCATTTTGCGTGGCAGGAGAAATACCCCCAAATTGTACCTATACAGAGTTCTATATACATGTACTAGATGGTACTGAATGTGCAAAACAACAATTGTTGGGCTCCACAGGACAAGGGTTTTAATACATGCCTGAGCTATCAAAATTTGGGATCAAAATACTATGCATTATGCACCTTATAGTTATATTGATTAATTAATTAGTGCATGTAATTCGGTAGTATTTCTGATGTCTACCTGCACCTAACCTGCACTGGTCCGTGTACTGGGTCAATGTTAAAATAATTGTTAATAGTTTTCAAATATAATTCTGAGTAGTGCAGATGAAATTTGTCTGGTGCAGCACCGTGCAGGTAATTTTGAAGTTTATCTGCACCAGTGCATGTTTGCATGCATCCAAAAAAGTATTTCGAGTTCTGAAATGCTAGTATGATGGCAGGCACTGCCAAACACTGACTTTAAGCTATAACAGAGTTCCAAAGGGATTTGAAAGGTCAATGTAAATCACATTAGTGCCAGAGCAGGTGGTAGGCAGGTGGTAAATGGTGATGCCAAACACAGTCTGCCTGGCAGTGGCTTTAACTGAGTACGGGGTGACCCATGGTATTTTCTCTCAGCAATACTCCATTAACACACTATGTATAGCAGTAACTTGTTATTTTGGAGGGACTATATTTTATTAAGTATATACTGTATGAAATTATGGATTTTTTTCCTACATGTACATTCTCAACTCCTCAATTGCTACAGTTACTGTAATTGTTTGATCATGAATTCATTAAAGGCTAATATCAGACACAGTGCAATTGTAAGGCCACACCAATTTAATTTGTTGGTTCTCAGATTTTTTCAGAAAAAAAGAAGCAACAGGGCGGAAAAAAAAATAGAAACAGGCATCCTTTCATAGCCCCAAATGCAACGATAGGAGCCATGGATTAATATTCAAACAATTTAATTTAACTTTTAATCAGACCACTGCATTGATAGATGCAAAAACTGTAACAACTAGGAAGAAAAGGACTTCCCTCAATGGTTGGGGGCAAAATAGAAGCATTTTGAGCTGATTC